ATACACGACTGGAAAGCGAGGTTTTATACAGGGCTTTTCTGCCACAGAGCAGGTGGGAAACACTGAGAAATTTATCGAGGTTACATTGGCTGTTGATCGTCGCTTGCATCTTTGCGGCAATGACACAGTGAGTGCTATGCTGAGCGCATGCGATTCGTGACTGACGTTTCTCCAGAGGTTGGGATCAAGCTGCTATGGCCGGTAAGATAATTCGAAAGAAGCAGTCATCTCTTTTGACTGACAATCTGGAGGAGCTAGTATCGAAGTAATGAAAGCCTTGGGTATAGACGACTCGGCTAAATCTTGCGCCGGAGCTCCCAGCACCGGTATCACGAGACGGACAGACAACAACCTCGATGTCAAGACCGACCGCAGTGCCTGGCTGCTCGGGGTCACAATCGGCGTACCGTTTTTCGCTGGTGCGATACTAGGTCTAATCATCACCGACCCAATCAACAGACTCCCCTTTGGCCGTCGCGGCGCTATATGTGTTGCGGGCATATTCAGCTTCATATCGGTCGTGGGCTCAGCTTCGGTCCACAAATGGGAGCATCTTCTCGTGTTCAGAATTCTATTAGGTGCTGGTATGGCAGGCAAAGCTTCAATCGTTCCTATTCTGCTGTCTGAAACCTCGCCCAAAGATGTGCGCGGCTTCTTACTGGTCTTCTGGCAACTTTTCGTGGCATTCGGGCTGGCCGCCGGATCTGTTGCAAACATGGCCGTATATCGCCTTGACGTGCATTCAAGTTGGCGCTACATGTTTATCTCCGCTTTTGTCCCCGCATTACTTTTACTATCATTGATCCTCTTCTCACCTGGTAAGCGGTTTTTGTGGCTCGAGGGTCCCAGTTCTGGAATGCTAAACCTCTGTGCAGAATCTCCTCGGTGGCTGTTGAAGGAAAGCGGTAGCATAGGGAATCTTTCCCAGAATGGCAAGCTATCGAAGAACGATCCACGCAGGGGAGTCAAAATTCGGAAGGCCTACAAGTCTCTAGTCGATCTTCGAGGCGAAGTTGTTCCCATACTTGCCGCCGGCGAACTGTTCCTAATGCACACGCGCCTCATCGACGAGCAGCGTCGGCTGAAGGCAGCATTAGATGGTCGTTCCTACACGACCAGTGGGGCCAGCCGAACTACTAATGCGAAGAGTCCCTTCCGTGATGTTATTCAACACATCAGCTGGCGAGAAAGAGTCACGTTAGTTTTCTTCCGCTCCGGATATACGAATAGAGCACATCGAGCCGCAGCTGCTGTAATGATATCACAACAACTGTGCGGTATCAACTTGATAGCTTTCATGTCCGACCACTTCTTCAAATACTCCTTCCTCAGCGACAATCCCGAATGCGACACCGACCGAAACATGACGCTACTGGGCGCTTCGCTTGGGTTGATGCTCCTCAACTTTATAGCTACAATTCCTGCCCTATTCGTTATCGATATTACCGACGGACGGAGACGTGTCTTGAACTGGACATTCCCAGTAATGGCCGGGGCTTTGCTGATGTCTGCCGTAATCCCAAAGATTCCCAACCAGCCAAAGGATGGGTACATCGCTGGACACTACATCTTCTTGGTCGTGTTCATAATTGCGTATTCGGTCGGCGAGGGTCCAGCAGCTTTCGTCATCTCAGCAGAAGTCTTTCCCCTCGTCAATCGAGAACTCGGCATGAGCCTCGCTGTCTGTTGGAACTTTATGGGAGCCGGACTCCTTGCTGTCTTAGCCCCATGGCTGCTGGATACGCTTGGTCAGTTCGGCGTGCTCTTGTTGTTTGCAGGTACCAACCTTCTCGCATGGTTTCTTTGTTTTTGGCTTGTTCCCAGTACCGGGAAAGAGGACCTGGAGGAAGTGTTCGAGCAGCTCGATATCACCACCAGGTTCATGTTCATCTATACTCTGAAAACGATATCGCGTAGATTCACCCAACCAGTAGAGTGGTGCTTGCGATTGACCTCCAGGGATTGGAAAGAGTGTGGCTATCCGGAGAGACTTGAATCACCAAGGAAAGAGTGGGAGAAGAAAAAGCGCGCACAAAGATCGAAAACCACTCATCCCGGTCCTCCGGACTCTTCATGCTCGAGCGAAGACGAGGTAGATGAGATACCGAGCGACAGAGAAACCGATAGTTGCGATTGAAGCACGGCACCCTGCAACCTATAGACACGCACGTACTTGGGCTGAAATGGTTCCACATCATATTTCGTAGACATCGTTGCGATGGCAGCAAAACGTGTTGCAATGAAGTTCCCAAATCACCGTGTTTCAATACTGACCCATTTCGATATCTGAGTTACTCTTCCGCGGCCCCACCTTTACCGTCGACCTTCCCTCCTCATACATGTCGCCATCGCGATACATTCGCATTCTCCACTTCCAACAAGCCAGCGTCAAAGCAGTCAAAGGAACTGATATGACGAAATAAAGCCAGAGTTGTTTCGACAGCACAAGATTGCGAGACTCCGAGTCGAAGTCGACAAGATTCATGCCAAACATAGTCTGTAAGTCTTCAGCCGTATTCAGTCTTTATAGCTACCATGGAACACTTACGGCAACGAATGAAAACGGGAGGTAAAAGGATGTGACCAGGGTGATCGCTCTGATTGCGACAGAGTCCTCTCGTGCCGATCTGCCCATGTCGAACGTGTTCTTGCTCTGACTCAGGTTCAGTGTATCCAGCATCGACTGAGTAGTTGACTGGGCCCGCTTGTTCATGTATAGAACCTGTCCTCTGTATGATGTGGCATCCTTGCGAAACTGGGTGAGTGCCGCTCTTATGACTACGGCAGTGTCATCTCTTCCTTTGCTCGCTCCAGAGAAGACATTGTTGGCTTCTTCGAGATCTCTCGTCAACCTTTCGAATGATGCTAGGATGGGCTCTAGCGGCAGGATGTTCTTCTCAATCGCACGGACTTCTTTCAGAGTTTCGAATGTAACCAAGGACTGTGTAAGCGACGTGCAGGCTGGCTTCATATCCTTTGCATCGGTCAATAGATACTTCAAAATATTCTCATTATCGACGGGGGGACTCACTAGATGAAGAAGCTTAGCCTCGTGGTACTCAAGATAGTCACGCCAGGAGCTGAGATGTGTGGATATCAGCATTGAGTGGATCACCATAGGGTTTGACAGTAGTCTAAGTCTGACTTGCGGTTGTTGTAGGACTTGATGAAGGTAGCCCTTGAAGTGAGCAACCGGGCTTGGATGTATAATGAACACAACCGATCTTCCCCGCTTCCGCTCGGCAAGATGGTATATTCCTGTTTGTCGAATGCGCCATGGGCTTCCCGTTTTTACGGCTTTCATTTCAGAGTATTTGTATACCCAACCAAACTCTACAAAATTCGTTACGACCTCACATCTGGATATCGATGAGGGGTGACATACCATAGCGATTTCCATTGAAATTTGATTGCGACGCGCTCGAAAACCCCTCTTCCGTGGGCAGATACCGATCTTTGAAGCACCCTAATATCTGAAGGAAACCAGGGCTGAGGTCGTAATGATCCATGAGAAGAGATATCATGTCGCTGCTAACGCCGAGAGGCGCGAATGTGTCTTTCTGGTGAAGCTCACTACCAACCTCATCAGTCTGAAGTCGAAACGACTCGAACCCACTCACTATATCTCCAAAACACTACCTTGCCCCACTGGACCGTTCGCGCCATCATCAAAGTAAGCCGACAGTTGCGAAGAGCTAGTAAAGCTGTGGGTGGATGGAGTATGCGATGCATCACTTGCGAAGCGAGTCACTTCGAGCAAGTGGCTCTCCTTGCGCTTCGAGAATAACTGGTGGCAACCGAGAATACGGGCCTGTATCTGTGATGTTGAAAATACGAGTGCGTGAAGGTCATTTGCGCTGTTGTCGTCTTGCTGAGTGCTAGAAGACATATCGGAATCGTAGATTGCAGGGCGAGGCAAGGCTTTGCGCAGAGAAACTACGTGATGTTTACAACAAGTATGTGTTCGGTTCTAGCCTTCCCAAAGATGCGAAATGACTTTATCCAATCCTGCGGGAGCCCCGCACCGCCTCAACGGGCTGACAGGCACAGCGCCTCAGTCTTTTGCATCACTGGTAGAATGCCTCTCGTTAGCGTTCACCGGTCGCGAAAGCAATGGACGCATTGTATTACCTCCAGTCATCCTAATGATGTCAGCATACCTAGGTAGCGTTGTGAGTCGTTCTGGGCGACTTACCGCCGTCAAAAGCTCAGGAGCCTCAAACGTTAAATATTCCTCTCCAGCTCGTTGGATGTTGAAATTGATATTATCACCGAACTTGTTCTTGAGGAACCTTTGTAGCTTGTCACGGCTGTAATACCGTTGGAGGGCTTGTTGCTGTATCATGGCTTGGTGGTGGCGAAGCTGAGACAAGGCAGGATAGCATCTGCCTGCCGCTGGAGGACTTTATAGCCTGCTGTACAAGGCTGAGGTAAGATCGATTCGATCTCGATTAAGCCGAGGGATGTCTGCGCTGGCGCAAGCCCACCTGCATACATAGGTGAGTCCTGCTCATAATCTATACACCGGTATAATGATGTCAAAATGCCCGCCTGCGGCTGGGCAGGCGGGTATTCGAAGGTGGGATAGTACATGCTGTGCCCAGGTGTCTTGCCTGCCGCGACGCCACGTTGCTGCGGATCGAGCCTTAGAAGTGGCGAGCCTGGCGACACGCGGGCGGCGGGGCCCCGCGCAACGCGGCCCCTTGGCAACGAAGGGATGACGCCGTTCACATGGGCGATGTTGCCTACAACCCAGCAGCGTCTTGCTGCATCGCTGCCCCATAGTTCTGCTACGTCCTAAATCATACCCCAACTTCGCTGCCAGTGGCTCCCGTCTAGTAACAAGCTAACGAGTTTATTGTGGCCTCTCTCTGCGTTGCAGGGACCATCGCGCATGGCCGGTTCCACCAAGCGCATCTTTCCTGCATTTCGGCGCGGGTCCCGTCGCGTGCTACGATCGAAGAATATCTGATAGTCGACCCGCTGGACAGCCCAATTCGATGAGCACCAGGCCCAGTTTCTCAACGTCGCGGACCAGCGTGTCCATACCACGCAAAGCTCAGTGTGAAGAGCTGGCCCAGAGATTACAAGATGCTGTCGAACGTACTACCAAGGACGTCGCAGCAGATGATGTGCAGCGCAGCGCCTTCTTGCCGAAACCCGACCTTGACCAGATACTCAACGATAGATCGTTGGAGCTGTTGTTCACAGAGTTGGTCACTGAGACTTCTTCCTTCGGAGGTGGCGTGTTCTTACAAGCTAGTGCTACCAGTACTACTGATGAAGAGAAGGGCTCAGATTCTGTAATTGACGACATGTTCATCAATAGTTGCATTGGCGCAACGAAGCGCAAACCACCGGATGAATCATCCTGGAGAGCTCTACTTGCTCTGCTTTTATACCAAAACAACAAGGATTTGCTCTCGTTATTCGTGGAATGGATGGTCATTATGTTCGATCATCCTACAGCCAAGTCTGACAATCTTATACCGTCTGATGAATCGATACCGTTCACGAAGGCCACGCTCCAAGAATACAAAGTTCCAAACTGGTGCCACAGACTCATACTTCTGGATCAAGCAATATTCAAACCGATTATGATCAAGAAGCTGGAGCATCATGACATCACCACCAGCGAACGCTTACCTTTCATGGGCAGGTATCATTCCATCAAGAGCGGCTCTCAAGGCCAAGTCTTCAAAGCTGAGATAGCACAATGCCACTGGGAGATTCGGGAGAACGATGACGAAGAGAACTCCGATTTCATACCTGGTAATCCGAATAGCACGAAACTCGTGGCTCTCAAAGTCTTCAAAGATCTGGAACCTATGCGCGATATGCCGGAGGCCACTCAGGACTTCAAGATTGAGCTCGGCATCTTGGAAGAACTCAGAACGTACAAGACTAAGCACAAAATGATAATGCTGCATTTGGGTAGTATTACGGAGCTCAACGAGACAAGAAAGCCGATCAGACACTCTATCATCTTTGAACTGGCAAGTTTCAGCCTGGGTGATCTCCTCAAAGACAGGAATCACCCTCAAGAATCCGTCATACCGTCTCGTTTGCTTGCTAGCCTTGTGGACATTATCGAAGCCTTAGAATGCTTGCATGATAAGCTCGAAACTCTCCATCTCGACATCAAACCTGACAACATCTTGATATTCGAGACTCGTTCCGGTTCCGGAGACCAAGAGCATTATGAACTCATCTGGAAGCTCAGCGACTTTGGCTTGGCTCGCAAGAAGGCTGCGAAAAAGCCAAAAGCTGGATCTGCACAGACCTCGACAGCGACATCTCGAGGATCCACTCTACCTGCAACAAGACCGACCGGCCTGTATCAAGCCCCGGAAATCCAAGAACAAGAAACTAGTCAAGCAGGTCGGGGTAGCGATGTCTGGTCTATGGGCTGTATCACACTCACGGTGCTTGCATTCATATATGGTGGACCAAAGGAAGTCACAGAGTTGGAAAGCTGCCTGATGGTCAGATTTCAGAATCTCGGCGGCAGGGAGCCTTTGTTTTATATAAGAAGCGACTCGTACCCATGGAGACACCGAGCTTCACACGTCTATCACTATCTACAAAGTCGGGGCCCGGACGTGGATGAGATACCTCACACAGCAGGACCACTTCTCGCCGCTTTACACCCCAGTCTCATCGACTGGTCGAACATACTAGTCGAGGACTCCTACGCATGTCGAACCGAGCAAAGATTCGTGCTATATATACTCAATGTGATTATCGGTAAGGTTCTTCTGATCGATCGTAGCAGGCGAATGGGAGCATCTGAGCTGCGCGACAGACTTGCCTACATACAGCAAGAGTGGGAAAAGTACGATATCGCATCCGATACCTATGTCTATCCGGATGCTTTGGCATATCTGAACCTTGCACGAAGCTCAAGCTCACAGGAAGACGAAAGCAGCACCGATGAGCCACCACAAGGTCCAATAGTGACCACGCATCATGATCCGAATCAGGCACCGACTGGAAGTGTAGCGCCACAAGGAGGCCTTACTCAGGAGCAAAATGTCCAGATGCGAGAAGAATTTTGCTCCGCCATTGAGCTAAATGATGCACCCAACGTGCGACTCCAGCTCGAACAAACCCCTGAGATACTAGGCCATCTGTGCCTTCGCGCAGGGAGATATCCCATTCATGTGGCTTTGTTAAACAACGCCTATGAAACCCTAGATGTCCTTCTGGAGAAGGCGTCACTTGAGATCACGAATCTGTCGTGTAAACGACGGACTGCGCTCGATCTCGCATTGGATTCGGGTAAGGCCGCAGCCCTTGACTGCATCCGAACTCATCGCAACAAGTTCGACTTCCCGCCCGAGCTCTACAAAAGGCGCAAGGACGGTCTTGGGTCGGAAGCGAGAGAGATTGCGGATGATTTGTTTGGTACCAAGAAAGCTGCGACCCCGAAGGGCAGGAAACCCATCTTTAGGATACCCAGGGGTAGGACATTCAATTCGTCTACATGACCCTGCGAATATGGAAAAGAGTATCAAGGTTCTTAGCAATCGACAAGGAGCGGGGCTTTGTACTGTTAGTCTTAGTGAAGGCGTTGGTGCGCGGATCACAGCATCGGTCCCCATATCCCCAGATTCCCCACGTATACATCGCATCCCTCGTCTAGGGACCGCTGAAGGCTTGCAGCAGCTAGATAGCAATATCAGGCTTAGGACTTCAAAAACATCTGCTTCTAAACAAAGAGATGTGAGGCTCTATTGCTTCAACGCGCTGGTCTTCGGGATGCGACGTGGGCAAAAAAGAAGGCAAAAACATACAACAGCGGGGATTCGCTAGTGGTCACCCACCTAACTACTAATCCGCCGGTACACTGCTTGTATATGGCTGAGCGGACGGGAAGCCTAATTCTCAGTGTCCTATGGTCGTATGTGCAAGAATGGATTGATGGTTGGCAATATATTGGCAGATGCACGGGAGCGGTGGAGGAAAACGAGATTGGACGCCATTCCCCGCTGCAACTACAACGCTCTCGCACTGCAGCTTTGCTACGCCTGGTCAGTGGCACGGTGTAGGACGACTAGTAGACTCGATTGTTCATATTATACCCATTTCTCGTTTATGATGTAAAGTCTTCTCTGTCCCTCCAACTACTTCTGTAATACCGGCCATCCCTTGACGTACTTGATCGGGTTCCATCCCAGAAACTTGAAGTTGTCCCGGTACAACGGGTCGAATGTCGTGTTGACGTAATGGTAGTATAGCACATCGCTTCCGCGATAGTCGGAAACCACCGCCTGTCCTCCGGGTGCGTAGGTGTTGCCGTGACTGCCGTAGACCATGCTTCCGCCACCCTCGGCGAGATCTTTTCCATTGCGGTCCACGAAAGGTCCGCGGGGCGACTTTGAGCGGCCGACAAAGATGGTGTACTCAGCTCCAGGCGGAGGCAGCGCAGCGGGATTGTAGCCGCAGCACAGGCCCGCTGAGTACCAGAGGTAGTAGAAACCTTGCTCTTTGTTGTAGTTGATATACGGAGCTTCCTCGGCTGATGCGCCACCCCAGGAAAGAGACATGTTCGCGTACGCCTGCTCCTTAGTCGGTAGGGCGGGATCGTAGGTATAGCTCAGCTGACGGGCAGTGGGGATCTTGACGGATTTGAGATCCTTGGTCAACTCGAACTGCCAGAGATTGGCCCACCAGGAGCCGTAGGAGAGATAGCTTTTGCCGGTCTTGGCGTCTTGGATGAAAGCCGCGTCGATGGTGTTGGTCTTACTCAGCGGGAAGGGAGCGTCCGTGCTGTTGGAGGATACAACCATGCCATGGTCGGTCCAGGATCCGTTCTGTAACGTTTTCGAGGTGGCCAGCCCGATGAAGGACTCTGAGACACCGAAGTCGGAGACGGTGTAGTAGCAGTAATAGGTATCGCCGACCTTGTGAACATCCGGGGCCCTGCATTATAGTGTTAGTACACAACTCCTTGTTGTATTTGCAAAGTAGCTGCCTCTTACCAAAGACGGTTTGCCTGAGCGGGATCATCAATGCTGCCAGGCGGCTCCAGAACTTGAGCGACAACCTCCCAGTACCCTTCCAGGCTGTTCTTCTTCGAAGCACGGGAGGTGGTTGCCAAGCCATGAGAGGAGAATGAGTAGTAGTGGCCGTCTGGTCCGAGCACAATACTTGGGTCGTGGATGTGGACACCACCAAGCGTGCCGTTCAAGTCCTGACCTGTGATCTTGCGAGGCGCGGGCCAGTATTCCCTGGAGTAGGGGTCCTTGACTGGTTTGGGCGAGTTGTAAGATGGCGAAGGAGCGGCGAAGGCCGAGGTAAAGAGAGATGAGAACCCTAAGGCGAGAGCCGTGAGGCTAGCTTTAGTGGAGGACATCCTGGGTAGAAAGCGAGCTGGTGCGGAGATAAACCTCGGTGATGGTCGGGAAACCTCCTTTTCTTATATAGCATACCGCCATCCGTCTATGATGCGGATCTGTCTTTCGCGCCTGGGCATATCTTGTGTGCCATGCAGACCAACGGCGCATCATACTGCCCTTACAGCGACACCCTTGTCGCGTACCACGATCCGTCCGGTCGGGTAGTCTGAGATGAGTAACGGTTCCTGGAAAAGGAAGGCAAAGAACCACTCTCCGCAAGTGACGTTGCAAAGGTGGAGATGGAGCCTTGGGGTTCGAAGTTTACGGGATGCGGAGGATTTCGTTCGCTCGAATCAACGGCCAGCAAAACCTGCTAGTGGGGCCTAAAGTTGGCGACCTCTCGTCGTCTTTAGACCCTGACATTCGGAGAGCGCAGACGAGAACGGTATGCGCAGCAACGGCAGTATAATCTGCGAACAAGAGTCGGGATGTTGTGGGGAACGGGAGACAGGCTGGTCGCTAGTCTTCTGTAGCCACGAGGACCTTGCCGTTCCAATCTCCCCATCTGATATCTTCCGGCCGAAAGCGGACTCGAGAACGGATAGCGATGCATGCAACGAAGCCTTGAAGTACAATCGGAATAAGCGAGAGGATAAGTTGTCGCTATTTTGATGATTCTTCAGTGATTTTCACGTCTTTTGAGATGCAGAGCGGATGGACCGTGTGGCGGGCACGGACCTTCCACTAGCGGGGTTTGTAGATCGATGCCAGCCTGAGTCTGGCCGTGGCTGATCGATTCGCAGTCTCATCACTCTACCATCACAAATCACCTCACGGGCATCGCATCGTTGCGACCACTCAATTCGTAAAGGCCAGATATATCAGTTCACAGAAAGTTCAGTAATGCCTTTCGACCCTTCCAAGGTTCCGTCAGGTCGACCTAGGCAGGGAACGAGCACAAGTAGGTGGCCTTAGCCGAGTCCATCTACTCAGCCTTGAGGCGCACCTACTCAGCCTTAAAGACATGCATTGCGCCCCTCGTGGGGCTGCACCAGTATAAAGCCTAACTGCAACATCAGAGCCAGCATCTGTCATGCTTCAAAATTATCTGTCGACTCGCCATTTGCATCTTGCGAGACTTTGACATTACAAGCAGCATTCAGCATGATCGATATCGCTTTCCCAAAACTGCGCGATGACTGGAGCTTCGACGTCGTCAACATCCTAGCCTTCTTAGGCGAGCATAACATCGAAGCTTGCAGCCAGCAGATCTGCATGTCGTGGACGTGCTTCCTACCACGACTGATACCCGCGCCTCAGGGTCTCCTTGCGCGACGACCAAGGAAACTTGAATCCGAAGAGGATACACCTGTGATAGGGATTCATACAGGCGTTACCAGGCCTGGCTTACACTATTTCGGTCGAATGTTATACACGGATTGGCCTGAGCTACCACCATTCACGACACGTGTAGTGAAGATACGGTGGGATCCCGAGAACGAAGATAGAAGCCTCAGAAGACGTCCACTTCGACCAAGATTGTTCGCGCCAATGAACACGATCGCTATCTTCAGCTGCGCATTGAGCTTTGGACTGGCAGCATGGGCTCTTGTGCTTGGGGATGCAGTCGCACTTACTGGTATCCTGGTCATGAGTTTTACGACACCTCTACTCTGTGTTGGGATGCGTTGGACGCCATGTATTCTGCCTGTTATGCCGAAAAGTGCTGAATCGCCACCAGGTACGGTTGTCATCAAATCTCCAAACGGATCCTTCACGGCTGTGGAATGCGACGAGCAGATCGGGCGTCTTCTTTACTTCCACCCTGATACCATCGACTATGCGGTCAGCTCCTTCACGGGGCGCGGCTTGAGCGGGACCGTGGGTGGGCTTACACTTGTGGGCTCCATTGTACTATTCGGTAATGCCGTATGGACAATGAAAGCAGCACTTGCTGTCACATATACGGTCTTAAATATTTTATATTGGATCGCCGCAATTCTTCCGCTCCGCTTGTCGTGGCACATCGATCTGGAATTAGATCCACCACAAACCACTAAACATGAATGTTGGACACAATGCCTTTGGACAACCATCTACACTACACAGAAGATTGACTGGGCAAGGGAATGGGTGCCAAGGACTGATGCGTGGGACCAGTGGCTGAAAGAAGCACAACACATGAGTAAATGCGTGCAACGACCCGAAGACTGGGATGCGCTGGGAGCAATGATGGACTTTAAGGAAAGGCCAAAGATTCAGCAGGAAGACTAGCTAGACATACAGTGGTATATGGAAGAATGAGGGGGGTAATTCAGGCAATTGCGATACTGCTACGCGGGTAGAAGAGAATGAGCCTCGCGGTTGCTTAGTATTCGCTACAACCCAAGAGCTTTCGAAACCATTGCTGACCCACGCTAATATCCTCTTGCAGGCAAGGGAGTTGGATAGATATCAAGATGTTCAGTAAGGCGCGTAGTACAGGCCAAACCAAGATCCAGGCAATGATCACGTGCGACACCGGAATGGACAGTCATACGATCAGCAATGTCCATGTCTGTCTCGTATCAAAATCCGGAGCGGGCCTTCGTCGGCCGATTACACCACCCCGTCATCGCTCGAGCCCTGCCAAGACACGACCCAAGATACTGTACGGTTAAACGTCGCGGACGCTACATATCAGGAGTTGAATCTATGACTGGTTCCGTTAGTCAGTCGTGTGTTCTCCCAATTGTGGACGGGTATTTAGCGGGTTACGATACCCGGGTATCTATCTTCAGGATGGCAAGATTTTCGAGCTATGAAGGATCTACTGGAGGCTGGGCGAAGCTTGTCAGCATCCAGATTGCGGAGATCGGAGATTAGTATAACTACGTGCCAGCTCCCTCAGTTTTCACAGTTTTCATTGTGAGTTGAATAGCGGCGGTTGGAAAGTTCGTCACAATGGTGAACCCTACCTCAGTGCTCGTCGCAGCTTCCTTGCTCATCAACCCTCTTGTCGCGGCTTCGAGTGGAAAAAGCGAATATGTCGCCGAATACTCTCCCAAGTAATGCTATACCCGCAATCTTGCAGTCAACCATACTCATCTCCCACAGCTACTCAACACCAGCGTCATACAGCAACATCACATCTATCCTCGACAAAATCC